CCCCCCCCAAATGAAACCCACAATTATGGATTTCAAAATTCAACAGAAAGGGCAGAATGGGTTCCTGAAAATTTACGCCCCCCTTCCCCTCATTAAGAAAACATTGGGGCAAAATGGGTTTGTTTGTCGTTTCCCGACTTGACATCCGTCCCCTCGCTCATCCCCTTCAAAAAAAAGCATGTAACGTTTTCTGTTACCGTTTTTCGTCGCATAGCTAAGTTCATCGTATGAACATTATTAATTTATTATGTATAGAATGTAATTTATACATATAATAATATATGTATATTATATATATATATATTATACATTATATACATATATATACAGGGTGTCCCGTAACCGATCACTTTCCTCGGAGGGTATTGTAGAGGATGATTTTTGGAATCGAAAGTTCCCTTTCGGTTTTTGCAACAGGCCATTTTTTTTTTGGATTTTGATTTTTTAATGTTGTCCGACTTTTAATTTTTTTAATTCTGTTACTACTTATTCCAGGGCTGAAGAAGATTTTTTCAAAATGTTCATAAAATAAAAATTGGTTTTTTATGTAGTACATCGACACCTACCCACTCCACCCCTTCCGGCCCATTATCGCGGAGAATTAATTTCAAAAAAACTTAAATTAAGAAACCGAAGAATTTGTTTTTTCTTTTATTTCCAGTAGGTCTCGATGACGTGTCTCATTGCCGACATCGAAAAATAAGAATAACAAATAAGAAAAAGATTGCTATTTTAATTTCTTTTTTGAGTTTTGGAAAATATTTTGGACGCGCGGTGATAAAGATGGGAGGTTTATGACTGGATAAGAGGATTGATAGAGGACATGATAATTATCGACATAAAAAAAATGAAAAATAAAACAATAATTAAAATTTTTTTTTTTTTTGGCGTTTTGGAAATGTTTTTGAACGCGCGGCGATAAAGGTGGGAGGTTTGTGAGTCGATGGGAGGATAAGTGGGATACATGCTCATAACCGACATGAAAAAAAAGAAAAACAAAAGAAAAAATAATAATTTTCATTTTCATTTTGTTTTTCGCTTTTGGAAATGATTTTGGACGCGCGGTGATAAAGATGGGGGGTTTATGAGTGGATGGAAGGATTGATAGATGACATGACGATGACTGACATAAGAAAAATGAAAAATAAAACAATAATTCAACTTTTGATTTTTTTTTGCGTTTTGGAAATTATTTTAAACGCGCGGCGATAATGGTTGGAGGTTTGTGAGTCGATGGGAGGATAGGTGGAGGACGTGTTCATAACCGACATAAGAAAAAACGAAAAACAAAAGAAAAAAAT